AAATATGGAGGCCAGTTTTCAAAACTGCTACATATAGTATCTCTTTAAATGAGTGAGATTATGCCCAGAAATTAAAGTCTTAGGTGGGGAACATACATTATTTGATGCAGGAAAATAATTTATAGTATATCACAGGTAATAAAATCATGTAAATACCGATTTCAATAGTCACTAAAAAATGAAACAAAATTGAACACATATCATAGGAAGAACATACTATGTTTATAGAATAAGTTTAAACTGCACATTTCAGAAAATAATCGTTAATGAATCCTTTCCATGTAACCAACTTTTTAAATCAGTATGAATCCATGCTAATTCTTTATTAAGGGAACACACAAATGTTCTTTGATTTGCAAGTGAATTCTATGAAATATAAACATTTGTTCATGGTCTAGTTGAAAATGGAAAATGAAATATAACCATTTGTTCATGGTCTAGTTGAAAATGGAAAAGCCATGTGTTCTTTTCTGACTTCCTTCCAGACTGGAAGTTGAATGTCTCTTTTTGAAAATTAAAATAGGACTGGCCTCATTGCCTCGTAGTTGAGGAAGCTGGGTCATCCCATATGGCTGACCACAGTTGGAATCCTGACCCTGACAGATTAAAAAACACACCAGGTGGTGTGTGTACTCCTAAAATCCTGACAGGATAGAGAAATGGACAAGGGATTATGGTGTGACCACGCCCTGTTGGAGGAATGCTTTCTCTCTCTCTCTAACCCCCTTTCCCTCTCTCTCTGTTTCTGCTGAATGTACATGCTGTCAACTAAAAATATTTAGAACCAATAACTGTCTCTTCCACCAGGAATAACTTACTTGTGATCATCTTTTAATTTCCTGATATTTATCACTAGCCGTAGAAATTATTTTAATTCTGCAGTCAAGTTACAGAACAAATTTGACTTTCAGCATTTTGATGAGGAATTGGGTGAATGTGGGAAAAAAGACAGAAAGGAGAGAGACTCTCTCTTCATTATGTTACTTGTATGAATGGCAAAAGGAGTCAAATGAAAAGGGAAAGATAAAATAAAGTAAGCTACTCTTCTATGCCTTTTTGTTCTGAAGATGGTATACATGACTACACACACACACACACACACACACACACACATATACAAATGAGGGGTCATTAAAATTTTCACAGAAAGTGCATATTATGAAAAATTATGCATAGATTTCTAAAATTTTGGGGTGCTAAAATAAACTTATTATTTCATTCTACTTTCATATGAGCTTTTTGATACTGTATGTGTGCATGTGCATGTGTATGTGTGTGTCTCTAGTGAGTATAAACAGAAAATCTTGCACACAAAACTTTTACCATTAAATTAAGTGGTCTGTATGTCAATGCTGTGCTTCTACACCTCATAGCTGAAAAGCTTTCCAAATCTGATTTTCTGTTAAACTCGTAATCTGCCCTGTGCATTCACTGCATCATTCGGACATGTGTCACTCAAGCTGTGACAGGTTTCTCTTGCTCTCCTTAAGGAACAAATTTGATGCCATGATTCATTCTTAAGTTTCAGACATTGATGAAAGAAAAAAAAAATGTGTGCTCCTTTGTTGAGAGAAATTATTTGTCATTCCAATTTTGTAGCTATTACAGTTACAGTGACTGCCTATGCTTTCTTATACAGTGACTAGAGTTTTATTTTTACTCACTATATAGGTAAGATGTGCCACCCTACAAAAATGAAGCAATTCAAAAATAAGTGAAAATCTCCCTAAGGGAAATACATTGTTAACACATCAGTGAACACATTTCAGATTGTCTCTTTATACATTTATTTTAAATGTAGATGTAGGTAGATAAACATTCATACACACTCTTTATAGAATTGTAAAATGTATGCTGGCTTGAAACCCGTATGTTTTATTTATATGTATTTTTTGGTTATTTTTCCATAATGGTAAATATTACTTTAAGCCATCAATTTTTACACCTGTGTTGCATTGACATACCATAATTTATTTTTCCAAGATCCAGTTGATGGACATTTGATCATTTTCAAATTGTTCTATGAGAAGCTGTGTTGAAGTGAACATCATTGAATGAAATTGTCAGTTTATCAGAAGTCTATTTATTCCTTTTGTTGAAGTTTCTTTATTTCATGAAAGACAGAGAGTCTCTTGACAGAGTCTTGTCACACTACGATTCCTTTTCACTGCCGTCCCCCACTTTGCCCCAATTTTCCAGCCAGCCAGGATCATAGGAACACCCCCAGGGGTGCCCCACACCCTGAATGCACTACATGCTGCTCTACTAGACCCAGAACCCTAACCCAACCCAGGGCTTTCTCTCATAAAGCCCCAGCATCATGCTAGGGTGCCCTACCACCTGAACCACCATGATTGGGCCAGAAGAGCATTGGTGATGAACATGTTAGCTGGGCTCCATTTAGAGAGTTAACTTCGCCATCATGGACCATCTTTGTTAAGTTAGCTCACAGCAGCAGTTCTCAGGCACTCTGAATTCCTGGTTAGGAGCCCGGGGTTCTGTGAGTCTTGTGGCATTCTGGTTTAAACCAGCAGTGGCGATTCTGATGAGGAACTGTGCTCTAAGGTACTAGTGAAGTGGGGTCAGGATTCGAGTCCAGATCTACCTGTGACTCTAAATGCAGAGTTGTTTCCTCCTACTCTGTGCACGAGTAAAAATTTAAAAAATTATGTCATCAGTACCAAAGAGAGTAATTTCTGTGTTAGGTGTTAGAACTACACAAGTCCTCAGTAGTTAGGGTAAGACTGAAGAGGAAGGGGGTATGGCTTTCTTCCTTCTCTGAATTTTAGTACTCTGAAACAGATCATTTTTGTATCATCTCCCCCTTTTCTCCAGATTTCTTTTAGAAGGGCTTTTGTAAAGGTTGTTTTGTATTATCAACTACAACTGACTTCATTTGTATCACACTAACCTGACATCTTAGCATTGCACAGAGAGAGTAGAGGGCCTTTGGCTGTTAGAGGCACTTTAGCATATCCCGTTTTCCCTTTAACCCATCACAGAGATTCACAAATGCTGGCAGCAAACTGAGGACCCTTTACTTGAAGTATCCTCATGCCTTCTGCGGAATTTGCCACATTGACGTCCTCTCAGATTGAATTTAATCTGAACACGTGAAAACACTTAAGGATTTAGCTCTCCCTGCTGAGGAGATAGTCAATAATTCACAACTGAAGCAGGAACAGCAATACTGAAGCTGAAAAACAGGAACAGCTTCTGCTGTTATTAATATTTCATTCATTCCCAACAATGAGGGCCATTTGTTCCTGTGTAGATTCTGCTGCTCAGAGCACTAGAGGGTCGGTAATGCCCTGGCGTTTCTCTTAAGTGTTTAGCTCGCTAGCTTTCTTCTTTTCCTACGAGACACTTGTTGACATTCTTTATGAAACAACACAATGTCCTGTCTGAGGGGTGGCATTAGGAGCACCTATGCCTCCTCCACAGCCAATGGGAGTGGGCTCTGCCAGAGGCACAGGCACACTGGGGATGCTAAGGTTCAGGTGAGGTCTCCCCACTTAATATACCCAAAGAGTAAGGTTGAGATTTACTGGCATTAACACGGGTCAGATGGTGGCAGGGTGGTTAAGACACTGGATCCCACATAGCCGACAACACAATTCAAGTCCCAGACTCAGTGGCTTGAAAAACACACCAGGCGTGTATGTGCTCGCACCCAGAATCCTGAAAGGAGGAAGAACTGGAGGAGAAGGGCTTGAAGCATGACTGTCCCCTCTGAGGGGTACTTTCTCACCCTTTCTCACATGCACATGTGTACAAGAGTATGTGCCCTCTGGCCAATTAAAAAGAAAAAGTATTAAAGCTATTGTACCTATTTGGGAAGAAAAATAGTTTTCAAAATCTTATGAAAGAAGTTGGTTACAGGATTTTTGTTGTTGTTTTGTTGTTGTTGTTGTTGTTTGTGATGGTCATTGTTGTTTTAAACTGGAGG